TTGCGAGTTTAGGACTTATATTTACCAAAACAAAACTAAAATCTAACAAATACCACGCGAAAACCGACAAAACGAGGTAATATTCACAATCATGAAAATCTGTCTGAATGACTAAAGCAGTGGTCGGCAACCACCGGGCCGGGCCGCGACCCCGTGTTTGCGGACCCCTGCTCTAACTAACCTGTACTTAAGCTCTAAGGGAACCAAACACGGGGTCTGCCCCCTCATACCCTTTACACTAAGACGTCGTGTATACTGCAATAAGTTATATTAATATTAGTGAAATTTTTGCAACGTTTGCGTTTAGTCGCAAATCACTGGAAATAGTTAAAATTTTAATATCCATGCTCTGCGTTTAACGGAATCGTAGTCAATGTTTTTATAGCTATTGTCGGGGATCTAGATTTTTATAGTCAAATTGTCTTGAAAAACAACTAAATTCAAAAAATATTGCTGATTTTGAAACTTTTTTGGGTACAGGTAAAAATTCCCTCAAGTCCGAGCCTTTCAGTTTGTTTGAAAAAAAAAAACTCCGACCAATATCAGCATAAACGACAATCGATTTCACAATCCTGTTTAGGGAATTTTTGAATTCAGTTGCTGGCAATTGAATCTCTAAAACAAAACGGCAGCAGCATCTGTTTCCAGTCGACGAACGCCATATTCGTCACGATGAGATTGAAAATTTGGTTCGCCAGCAATGCGAGCTTCGAGAAAATCGAAACAATAAAAATGGACGCCATTGTATCGCTCAGAAAGCAAAGGGAAGCAGCGATCGCTGCTTTTTTCAACACCGGCTTCAACTTGCGAGAAGCATTGCCGGCATTTTCTTTATGCTTGAATATTGGAAGCAAATATAAATAAAGCAGAACCATTTGGGTGAAAATTGTCCACACGCCATAACTATCCAATAAGCCATAAAGTTAATTTCTACCCTAATTCTAACAATTCCACATCCAAGTTCGGTCATTCCAATTTCAGAACTTATGGGTCCCAGAAATATTAAAGTTGAAGGCAAAGAAATTACTAGAATCAGCGACGCAATGCTCAAAAATCTTGTGGAACATGTTGTCAGGTGCTTCATCGCTTGTTCCTGGTACAGAAGTCGCTGTCGCAACCATAGAATTAGGTAGCTGAAAATCGATGCGGTCGAAGTACAGAAAACATACATGAAGTGTGAGGTTGAACACAATTCCGGAAAATACATCTCCACTACATATTTTTCTACGCCTGAATGAATGGCTACTAATAATAAATCCCATGCGAATATATACCGAACTATTTTAATTGCTGTGCCGAGATTTTTCGAAGCTCCTTTTCCCGGAACGTTCTTGCGACGTCTGATGTCGATGGTGAGCGTGATGATAAAGTACGTCATGAGCAATGCGTAGAATATGTAGACTATTTCAGATACCAAGCTTTCATCCATTGCTCTATTATACTCATTTGTTAGAGTTTCGTTGTAAGATGACGAATTGCTAGAGTAAATATTGGACGTATTTTTAAATTCCGAATTCATATTTTCAAAGTATATTTCCAGAATTTTAACTTTACTTTGACCGAAGGTTTACTGCTACAAATTTGTAATAATCGGTCTTTCAGTACACAAAGTACTGACCTTAAAGTAAAAAAAATGTTAGAAGATTCGTGATATACGAACAATGCTACAGTGATTTAAACTATGCTCATATTCGCACGATACTGAAAACTACTCAGGTCAACAGCTCATGACAGAGAAATTTCAAAGGCGAAAAACTTTTTCTAAGAACCAATGTAAACTTGTGGCTACATAGGTTTTTTGACTTTCGTATGCGCTGTTGTGTGATCTCAATGACATCAGTATTCACCTAACCCAAACCCAATGATGTTAGGGTGAGCAACTGGATTTGGCGTTCCTGGAGGTATGTAATATGAAGGTAACTAATTTTGTTTGCCTACTATACATCAAGTTGTGTGAAGGGACTGAAACCTATGGTCATGGGCGATTATTCACTTGGCTAACACAGACGTCCCCGAACTAATAAAACTAAAATAAGGAAAATTGGAAAAAAATTATGCCTTAACCCCAACCTGGTACACACACACCGGGAGTAACCTGAATTCTATGAGAATGTCTTTATGAGATTGAACGCATACAATTTGTGCCACAATTGGTTTCACTTTGGTATGCGATTGAGATCACATCAAGCAAGTGAAACCACGTACCGACGTAGTTTTATGACGCTAAAATCGCACGCCAAAGTGGAATCTCTTTTTATACCACCGAATTTTTTGATAAATCTAGAGGTTATGTAATGCGTCATTACTTAATCGAATAAATTGTAAACTAGCAAACTGTCATGTATCGAAAGAATCGATCATCTTTAATATTGGATGGACGATCGCGTAATAATAATATCCTGTGGGTAAGCACTAAAAGCATGCCGGTGATTGCCGTGTGTGAGAACTATTTTGTGTGTGGCCTCGTCTTCGAGCGATGTGCCACGAACGATTATTTGGTTACCTATTCTATTTCTGATTTAGTCATTATTCTAAATCGATTTCATTATCTATCGATGAAAATTTTGTGAAAATATTTGCATCGGTATTAAAAACATGTGCCAACAATATTTTCAAAATTTTCCATTCTCTAATATAAATTCCAAAACTGAGAAATTGAATCTTTCCTCTAGATTAAGGTGTATAATTATATAATCGTACAAATTAATAGCAACCAATTTAATGATGCATTTAAAAGCACTTAACGATGAAACTCGCTTCAACCCTAAAGTCTTACCATTATTATTAATTTTTTATCATAATTTGCACTTTGTATAAATACCTTAAAATGTCAGATTGCATTATATGACAGTAATAATCTTGAACCTCACGAATGAGACACTCGTATGACTTTTATATTGTGATAAATAGATGATAAACTTCACTTCACATGATAAATAGATTCTGATAAAAATGTCCTCTATTTGGGACAAAACATGTTATTAAGCCTTACACTAGTTTAACCCCCTTTTTATATGACGTTATTGAAATAGGGTAATTTGCAATATTTGTTTTATTTTAACCTCATTTGATATAAAAATGAAGGAGAAAAACTTCGATTATTCCAACCAAAGTGGTATTATTTGGGCAATTTTTTTTTGTTAATGTTATTGACATAAGCAAACAATATCGGTATCCAATCCCATAACCTATCACTGTGATGAATAGATATTGACAGAATGAAAAGAATATCTCAAAATTGTAAGCTTCCCGCGCATCTCTGGCTACTCATATATGGCCTTTTGCAGCAAAAGTATGCATTGGCCTTGGCATTTCCATTAGCTGTGAAATCTTACAACTTGACTAAAATTTTTTAAAGATGTCTTGAGTTACCGCCAACATCTCTGTCGAACGGATGGACCAAAATATATCTTCAAGTGTCACTTTGCAACTCTCTTATTTCTTTTGATTTTGCTCCAAACCCAACAAAGAATACTCATTTTTGGAATATTTGAGAATATTGACTGGGTGCAGCAGATCGGTTATTCTGACTTGTTTCGCATGAATAATAGTTTCATGAATTTTTTGACCCATGACAGGATACGGTTGATAAATCATATGGCGTTTATCAAACTTGAATAAAAAATTCGAATGGCTGTTTATGGAGGCGATGTCATCTAGCGATCTGAATCTTTTAAACTCAAACAAAGTGAAATTTCCGCGACCGCAAAAACACGATTTGAGATATTCGCATTTCTTACAACATAAATAAAACTGTGTTTGCAGCAGGACTGTGGCAACTAAAACGCTATTATGTGCTGCTGTTGATTGGGGTCGACTGCAAGCTGTCCAAATTTGGACTGAAAGTTTTCTATTATCTAGCAGCGGCAAATTGTACAGGACCTTGTATGATGTTTGATGCCCTGACACAAAGCTCAAACCTCAGTTTTGTGACGAAACAAAAAAATCTTGCCTCATCCCTAGACTTGCACTAAACTTTATCTTTGTTTTGTTTTTTAAAATAGTTACGAAATAACCGTAAAATGGTCTTCAATATCCGATTGCCCATTATTTGAACTTATGCACGTACGTTCCTAATCAAGAACCGTCGCACGTATAAATAGACGTAGGAAGTAAGGTATTTATTATTAAAAGATTTGGTATGTCCGGCAACGTAGTTTGGCTTGGCAAAACCAATTGATTTCTCGCGGATGGACCGAAGTCCGACTTTTCTAACGGAATCCTAACGTTGAAAGCGTCATCCATATCAAATTCCATTATATTTTTACCATTTAATTGAATTAAGGAACTTCGCAATTACTTTAATTACAATTAATTCCATTGACGGTATATCTTATAAATATATTTATAAAAATTATTTTCAAATAAATCTTCTTATATCACTGGGTGGCGCAATCTTCATTTTTCGGATTCTCCGGTTGCGGTTGTTGACGACGTCTGTCGTTTTGATTCTGTTAAACAAATGTGCGTCAAATATATTTTGCCTAATACTATGTATGTTGTTGAAAATATTGAATTGAAGTTATACAGGCGTCAATTGAGAAATATCTCTGGTTTGTATGATCAGTGGTTTTGCCTGAGGGCTCGCGAACTTGGTTCAGTTTCAGTGTTCGTAAGTCATTTAGCCTTGGGAAGAACAAAACGGGGGTCATTGAAATGCAGTAATATCTAACTTGTCTTGTTCCCTATTCAAACACAAACTTTTTCAATTTCTGGTTTATTCGTAATGAATGTGAAACGATATATTTGATGCAAATTGTCTATTTTATAAAACAAAATATGTATTGTAGGTTAACTATGCATGACTAGAAAAGAGGTTAACGCTTTCAAACACCGACAAGACAAGTCTGTGATAGTAGTTTGTGAGCATGGAATGCAACAAATGGATGAAAAGTATCACGTGGAAAATGACTAATTTATCAGCATTTAATTGTATATTATCTTAAATGATATTTCCCATAATAACAATTCAAAATTAATTTGGCTTGTTTCATGATTCTTTTACCCAGTTTTTGAATAATTTACGATATATTTATGAAATCTTTGGAAGGAACAAAATTTCCAAGCAAACTAATGACGGACTACTTGTCATTCGACACTCACACTTTCTCTATTTGACGACGCCATGGCAGCCGCTCCGGCCGCCAGTAGTGCCCCTCCCACCAATGCAGCAGTTCCCCAACCAAACCTGTAACAATAAAAACGGCATATTTATTACAAGGAGAAGAAAATCAACAACATCACATTTAATTCCTGGTTACCAATTTAAGTCGGTTATCAGTTAGGTAAACAGCAACATTTTATGAAAGGTAGGGCTTAAATATAGGGGGACCCGCCACCAGATTTGAAATAGGTTTATGTAAATCACTGCAGGGTGAAGAGAGAAACACTCGCGGATGCTCATTTCAGAGAATTAGAACCTACGCAAGCCACGTAATTAGGATAGGATAGTTTTACATATTTATCGCAGGGGAAAGTAAAGCCGATATGACATCTTAACCATATGGCGAACCACGGCCTCTCGTCCGGTTACCATTCCATGTCGGGTATGGAATTAGTTAGTTATTTGTTTTCGGGAGCATGCACTTGATGGTGAAGGAAGCCGTAACTAACCAGCGGTCACGTGGTCTCGCACATAACTATCCTCGCATGAGATTCGAACCTGCGAACCCTCGCAGAGTAATCAGAGGCGCGAGCGTATTCCTAACGTTTAGCACGATGAGCCACACCACTGCGCCAACACATGAAGCAATATTTGATTGTACTTTTAAATGTAAATGTACCGCTTTAGAAAGTTTTTTTTTCAATTTTTTCATTGGTTCAACAACTTGTACTCACCCCTGGTTGCTTTCGACAACTTCTTGCCTTCCCTGATGACTTCCGACGTTTCCGTGATCCCGATGTAAAGGCATTGCCCTGCCCCGTTTAGCCTTGCGTATCTGAAACGATTTTAGGCGTTACCAGAATAATTTCAATAAATACTCAACTAGGTAAACACTTTAATATTAGCATGAATCCCATATATAGGATATAGCAACAACGAAATTCAATTATAATTTGGAAACCACAGTAATGAATGATAGAAAACTATATTCCCCCCATTTCTTTCATTTTCCTCTTTTTTCTATTCAATTGTATTTATTTATTGCGTTGCTCTTAGCTTAGGAAATAATGGACCTGGCACTTGAATTTTTCAAAATACACCTACTAACCTGGGAGAGACTATAAATAAATTATTGTCTCTGCTGTAAATATACGCTGTCAAAGCCAAAGGCTCCAAGTATTTTCAAGAATAATAGGGCGTCATTACAAATTGCACAAGTCCATTTAAAATTTGGGTTGAAAGAAAACGGAAAAAGATGCATATGTGACCCTTGTTGACTGGTATGGAAAACTGCCTGAAGGTCGTGAATTCTCGAACTGTATACTGTATTCAAGTGGTTTCTATTCACGTACACGCGTTTAATATTGTTGCAGCAATAGTTAGGCATTTTGTTTGGTAAACATTCGTGATACTCACTTCTTCAATGCTGTGAGGATATGTTTGCGCTCCTCCACGCAATCGGATACTGTCTCCATCATCACGCGACGTATTTGGGCGCCATCTTGGGGGATCGTCCTGTCAGGAAATTTAATGATGGTAAAAAAAATTTACCCTACACCGTGATTATTAGCATGGGTTCGCACTATTCCTAGTTTGCAATTCCAGAACAATTAATAAAGGAATAAACCAAACAAATAAAAAGGAATATTTATTATATGGCCTCGAATTCAATATTCAGTACTGCCAAATAAATTTCGAATATCGTAATATTTGACTTACGTTTTTAATTGCCATTGAATCAAAATTAAATCAATCAAAACAAAGTGAAGCCACTACCCCTTCACGCATGCCGCAACCGGCATATAAAGGCTACTGTGAGCTTCAAAGTAGCATCTATTGAATGGCTAAAAATTATGAAACTAGAGAAGTGATCTTCATCTTGAAGGTTAAAAGCTACGAAGTGAGGCAATTGCTTTTGTGAATAAAACGTGAGAAATTCAGAAAAAATACCCTTAAAAAGCTTATCGAAATTTGTTAAAGACAGCTTGGCTCATTACTATGACTTTCTTATGAAATGATGCAATTCCATTGCCTTTATAAGTGTATCCAAACATAAAGCATTGTTTACCTCCGTTACATTTATATCCGATATTTTTCCTTTATATTCCAAGACTCTAAACATGTACAGACGACGATTATTTTCCGAATACCATGAACCGTTTTTGTACCAAACATAGATCGGAGGGAAGTCGGAAACGAAAGTCTCTCCCTGCAGGATTTCATGAATGACGTCATTAACCTTTTTTTTTCCATTAGAGGAAAAGTTAGGCCCAATATCGTCTTGACTGAAGCGAATTTCTGAAGGCTTCATGTTAGATTGATGATTGAGCATACTAGGCAATACAATTTTCCCTTAAAAATAGACTGAATGAAAGCAATCTGTATGTAGGAAGAAGTAAAGAAATTCTAAAAACCGTGAATGAATACAAACAAAGCTAAAAATGAATACAAAAATATTCACATAAAATATTAAAAAAATGCATAATAGTAAGGCTATTGAAGAATTCAATATGAACAAACAAACCTACAAAAATAGACGATATTACTGACTGTTCCTATTGATGACACAAGAACGTAATAAGGGCAGTCAGGGGCATGGGTTTTGTGCCCCAGTTCTGTAAACCGTGATATCAACGTTTTTAATTATAATGCTCTAGCTTTTAAGAACCAAGGTTCAGTAGATACAGTAGATGTACAGGACCGATTCTAGGAAAATTCGCCGCAAGATATTTCGCCCTAGGAATTCTCGCCGCATGAAATTTCGCTGTATAGGAATAATAGCCGCATGAAAAATCGCCTTATTTAAATAGGATTCGATATTTAAGAGCATAAAACCCAACTGTTTTTATCATAAATACTTATCGCAATACCAAAATGCTTCTGACTTTTTTTTTTCTTACGGCGAAATTTCCTACGGCTAAATTTCTTGCGAAATTTTCTGGACACGTGTCTCAATTTCTCGAATTTCGTACATTACCTACTTCATCTGTACAAAGCATTGCTGTAGTATGATGGTCTGAAACGTTAAAATTTGTGAAAGTGCCATGTAAACATTTTGAACCTATCAGTATTGGCGGTTATGTGTGCGTTCATATTTAAGCAAACAAGATAATCACCTACGACATTCTGACAAGTCAAAATTTATTACACATCGTTGTTTTGTATCAGACATTCTCGCAATATGCACGTATACAATGGATTAAGCAAATATTTACACAACGTATTACACTCATGAGATATTACAAATAACACCACTAGCCATTTTAAAGCATCATACTCCACCAATATATTGATACGTGTAATACTTATAGTCACTGTAATTTGGAGCATTGCGCATATTTCCCAGCAAGGAAAACCATTATACTATAGTGTAAAATAAAATACAATATTCATATACCTGTACACATACGACAATACGCCCCATACAACTCAAGCCATAAACATTTTATCAGTTTTAAAATAGTCAAACATAGGGCGAAACGCTGTATGTTGTTTAATTACGTGAATGTAAAGTCAATTAATTCAATGCAAACGCGACAGCAAAGTCAAACAAAAAACATTACTCGGTTAAGGTAAATTCCCTAATCATAAATGCGAGACCTCTATGGTTTAAGCAGTCAGCCATTGGAATTTATAATTTTACTGATATTTAAGTAACTAAAATTTTTTAATCTTGCCAGTCAGGTAATAAAAATCATTGGGATACCACGTATCTCCTTAGCCCGTATGGCAGAGCCCAAACGAAACACAGAAAACTTATATACCGAGATAATAAAAACGGATGAGACACGGAAAGCTACAGTAGTATTTATTCCAAAAAATACCGATGAAAGTCATCCCCACGTAACTCTTAGCTCGACTAATTTTTAAATCAAAGTAGAGAAATATGCTGAGCCATCAAAAAAATCGACTTCAGAAGTCAACTGCTACGTCTATCCTATAATACGTCATTGCTAGAATACCTGATACCACTGTTCTTCATATCAATAGTGTATGATGACCTTCAGCAAAAACAAAACAAAAAACTACTGAAAGGCTACCTCATGCTGCTATTTGACCTGAATGACAGTTTTGCTTCAAGCAATATTCCATTACACTAAATGTTTTATTAATATTACTGCTCAAAACAGATTGAGTCTGAATCTCCTGACCAATTATTTCCATACATTTCTCCGGTGCCGCCTTTTTCTTGGTGCCCTAACCACGTGCTTCTTTTGCTTAATGGTTGATTCAGCCCTGGCTACAACATCCTTGCATTATTATAAGCCTACAGATCCGTAGTGATTATAGATCAAGACTAAATAGAGTTAATCTTGCGTTTTAACCCAAACTAATAACTTCAGTGAAATCAAAAATTAACAGTATTGATGTTACAGTGAATTGCCAAGTCAAGTCAAGTTTATTTTTTCCAATTTTACACGAGTACAAATTACGAGAAAATATTATAACGCATAATTTTACTGGGGAAGGGAAGTCGTAAAGAATCAAAGCTGGTTATCGAACAGTGACATCCGAGGTTCTAATGAATATAATATCTACTTTGAGAGGGTTGGAATTCTAGAGTTTTGAAACTACTGATATTGCCGGTGAGTACTGTATGAAATTTCTAACTAACACCGTTTACCAGATATTATGTAGTAGAGGTTATATTAATTAAAGAGCCATAAGACAACAGATGGATGTAGAATTCCCCATTTCAACGGAATCACTTGAAGCAACTGCTGTTCTGAAAGTTAGTATGGGGAATTTTGAAGGTGACATAGATAACCACGTGTTTACAGTGTGAAGTGCATTGATAGAAAAGGTAGTAAGACGGAACATTTAACGACTGGCACTTTTCAACAGTATTGAAGTTACGGGTAAATGCTATTTATATTCATATTTTCAAATAAATCTTTTTATATCACTGGATGGCGCATTCTTCATTTTTCGGATTTTCCGGTTGCTGTTGTTGACGACGTCTGTCATTTTGATTCTGTTGAACAATTGTGCGTCAATAAATATGCGTCAAATAAGTTTCAACTGATTCCATGCATGTTGTTGAAAACATTCAATTAAAGTTATACATGACAGGCATAAATTGTGAAATATCTCTTGTATAGGACAGCACAGATCAATGGTTCTTGTCTGAGGACTCGCGCTCTTGGTTCAGTTTAAGTGTTCGTTAGCCATTTAGCCTCGGGTAGCACAGAACGAAGGTGAGTTGAATGCGGTAAAATATCACCTGTCGTGTTCCCTATCCAAACATAAACATTCTCATTTATCGTTTATTCGCAATGACCGTCAATAGATATATTTGAAGCAACTTGTCTATATTATGATACTAAATATGTTCTGTAGGTTAATTATGCCTGTCGAGAAGAAGAGGCTTTCTACAATCCGCAAATGCAGTAGTTTATCATTATGGCATGTAACAAACGGATGAAAAACTGGGTGAAACCGCAGGTCGCACCTTCATTTAATATAGGATTTGTAGTGGTTGCAGGAACAAAAATAGCAACGTAACATCATAGGCATAATTGGACTCAGGTATAGGCTTTGCAACGCAAAGGGGTAAAAATCACTGGTACGTATACCAGATTCAACTTATACAAAAAAAAAACTGTTTTGTGCGCCACACCCCATTTAAAATTGACTTTTATTCGCGGGCCCCACAATTTTTCCTCTTGGGCCGTATTTGCCCCGCGGGGCGCAGGTTGCAGACCCTTGCGGCGGATACGCGGGTCCTGACATAGGTAAGTTTGCTTAAGGATTCTATCTGAGCTATAATAATTTTGAATAACTCACGAATTATTTAGGAAATCTTGCGAAGGAACAAAATTGCCATGCTCACTTACATTTTCTTTATTTGACGATGCCATGGCAGCAGCAGCTCCAACAGCCAGAAGTGCGCCTCCTACCAATGCAGCAGATCTCCAGCCAAACCTGTAACAATGAATACAGCATAGCCTATTTCCATATTTATTATAGGGAGAGGGAAATCAACAATCTCAGCCACATGTTGAACCAACAACTTTTTCTGGTTAGCAATTTATTTCGGCTATCGGTTAGGTAAAAAGCTACATTATATCAAAGACAGCGAGAGTATATATAAGGGGACCCAAGACCAGATGTAAAATGAATTTATGTAAATCACTGAAGAGTGAAGATAATAACACTCACACATGCTCATTTCGGACGAATCGAACCCACGCATATCATACAAATTAATTAGCCTCCAGTGTTCAACACAAAAATTCATATATCGTAAGTGAATATGTCGTACATGTATTGCTTTAGTAAGATTTTCGTTACCTCTTCCATTTATTGAACGATTTGTAATCACCCCTGATTGTTTCCGTGAACTTCCTGTTTGCCCCGATGACCTCCACTGTTTCCGTGACACCGATGTAAAGCCTGTCTCAACCTGTCCCGTTCCGCCTCTCGTATCTGAAACAGATTACACTATCCTTGCGTTAACTGAATACCTTCAATAAATATTCAACTAGGTAAACTCTTGATTATTAGCATGAATGCCATATAAGACCACAGATACATAGCGGCTTCTTAGTAGATGCCGAAACTTGTACAGCCGAATTTAGCGAAATTCGATTATGATTTGTAAAAAATTCGAGTTGGTTATAGAAACCCGTATTTAACCCCTGTCATTTCCCTCCTTTTTATATTCCACTTTATTTATTGCGTTGATCTTAACTGAGGAAATAATAGATCTGGCTCTTGAACTTTTCAAAATACGAACATGGGAGAGACTATAAGTACATTTTTGTCTAAGGGCCATTTGCTGTCAATATACGATGACAAAGCCTAAGTGTTTTCAAGAATAGAATCAGGAAGTCATTTCAATCGCACAAGGCCATTTCCAATTTGGGATAAAAGGACACGGAAAAAGCTACATATGGTGGTTCTTATTTGCGTACATGCGTTTTATATTTCTGCAACAATATTTAGGCATTTTATTTGGAAAGAATGCATGATACTCACATCTTCAATGCTGTGAGGATATGTCTCCACTCCTCCACGCAGTCGGATACTGTCTCCATCATTACGCGACGTATTTGGGCGCCATCTTGGGTGAGATGTCTAGCAAAAAAAATAATTTAGCGGTGGAAAAAAATTATTTAAATAAGTTATCAATAGCATGAGTTTGAATTATTCATAATTTGGAATCATTTATACGAAAAAATAAACCAAACAAATAAAAAAAAGTATCTATTATAATGACACGAATGTAATATTCAGTGCTGTCAAATAAATTTCGAATATCGTAATAATTTACTGAAGATGTTAATTGACCATAACTCAAAACAAAGTGATGCCACCACCGACCGCGCATGCCACAACCAATACTAAAGAGCTCACATAACCTATAAATAAATTATAGTCAGTCTATTGAAGAATTTGATATGAACAAATAAACTGCCAAACAGTAAAACTCTATTTTTAATAAGCTAGAGTTCAGTGGATGCCTATACAAGACCTGCCTGTGCCTACGACGTAAAAGGCGTAAAAAAGCGTAAAAATGCGTGGGTGAATAATGAATGAAACTGCTGTACCTAAAGGTTGGTAAGTCTTGCACCACAATTTCTCAAATTTCGAACACTAACTATTTTATCTGGACACAGCATTGTTTTTGTATGCTTGTCTGAAATGTTAAAAATTTGAGAAAATGCCATATAAACATTTTGAATTTATCAGTATTGACGGTTATGCCTGCATTTTTATTTTCACAAAATAAGATAATTACCTACGACATTTTAACAAGGCAAAATTAGTTAGACATTGTTGTTTTGTATCAAACATTCTCGCAATATGCAGGTATACAATGAACTAGTCAAATATTTATACATGTGTTACAATAATTAGATAATATAAATAACGCCATTACCCCCTTCAATGTTAGCATCATACTCCACGAATACATCGCTACATACAATTTGGGGTTATGCGCATATTTCCCAGCATTGAAAAACATTATACAATAGTAGAAAATAAAATACAATAATATACCAGTCCTATACAAATACGATAATACGTCCCACGCAACTCAAGCAATAAAGATTTTATCAGTTACTATAGTCAAACATACGGCGAGATTTTGTATGTTTAATAACCGAATGTAAGGTTAATTTATTCAATGCGAACGCCATGTTTAACTATGCGACTGCAAAGTCAATTACAGTAATTTGATGCGACTGCAACGCCAATCGAAATTCAACTCTCGGTTAATGGAAATTCCCAAGAAATAAGGAATACAACTTAATTTATGCATGCCGGGCGTCTTTCTACACATGCGGGACCTTCACGATTTAAGCAGGCAGCCAATAATATGTACAAGTTTACTAGCACCCCAGGAAATGATATATTTTTATCCCCTCTGTCTGGAAAATTGAATCGAAACTCAGCTCTAGGTTAGGAGAAATTCCCTAAATAGGAAATACTACTTAATTTATGCATCCCGGGCGTGCGTATAGTATACGTAATAATAATCAATGCGACACCATTCTTGAAATGCAATCATGAAATGAGAACACGAGTTTTTTCGGTCTCCGTATATGTGAATGATATATCTTTTGATTCCAAACTCCCAAAGTAACATAACCAAAAAAAAAAACTAACTCGGGCAGTCTACATGCATACGTGTCCGTCGGAAAATTTCATTTTCATGAATAAACTAACTATTCTCAAATGTATATAAGAATAGCATAATCCAATTTCACGAAATATTTCGTTACAAAGAAATGTTCTATTCCTATATTTTTAATACTTTTAGCGCCCTTGTGGAAACGGGCACATACAGATTTGAGAAAGTAGAAAATAGAAAGAACCTGCCGTTCAATTAGGAATACCCTAGTACAGGGGTGTGCGACCTGTGGCCCGGGGGCCGGATAACCTACCGTGTTTCCCCGAAAATAGGACTGGGCCTTATTTATTTTTCTTTCAAAAAATAGCACTGGGGCTTGTTTTCTGGGGATGTCTTATATTTTCATTTATCAAAAACAAAATTATAAAGTAGATAATTACGTGATTTTCAAATACACGAACGAGCTTTTTTTCAGGGTAGGGCTTATATTAAAATCATTTTCAAAATTCATGCTAAGGCTTATTTTCAATGTAGCTCTTGATTTTGGGGAAACACGATAAAATGTACTCGACAATATATATATAGAGAGAATTTGAATATCCTTCTATGGAAACTTTCGTAATCATTTTATGTTAAGCCATTCAAATTTTATAGGCAAATATATTTAATATTTTGTAGTCTTGGCTGCGTCGTTGCGACAACATTACGTTACCAACAACGTAATGCGACGTCACGTCACGCACGACTGTACGTTTATCACGCAAATGCAACAGAGCGATAGATATTCTCAATCACGTGACGCCGACGTGTTAATATTTAACTGTTCATACTAGGGCTGGGCATTTTCGAATCGAATCGAATAATTTTTTCGAATCGAATCTCGAATACTTGGAACATTTATAATTGTATGTAACTTTCCTGTTGTATTGGGTCCTCCAGACACCTGAATTACTAACAACGTGAAATACATCACTCAGACAGATTGCTGAGCGTTCACACACCATGAAAAACACGTTTTCATCAATACCTCACTACAGAAAAGATGGCGGCGATTCGAAATTTCGCTCTGAACCGATTCAAATAATTTACTATTCGATTCGAAATGCCCAGCCCTAGTCCATACACGATCACTATATAACCCGATGTTACGCATTCTAAGCGCATAGCCTTGAAATTGACTGTCAGCTCAAGCTACATAAACTGGTGACAACACGTCCAAGACATAAACCAGGTCATGGTTTATTTGTAAATAGCAGAACAATAAAAAACATGAAACCATACCGAACGTTGTATCACGTTGTGCGACTTAACATAATTCATAAGACATTAGGAGTTGCAGGCTGCATGCATGAAAATCTACCCCCAAGATCAGCATAGCTAAAGTCGTTCAAACTTTGTTCTTCCAAAAAATAAAGATTGCCTAGTGAATCTTACAGAGATTTCAACATATTAATACTTCGAGAATCGAATAAGACCGAACATGAGTAATACATTTAAGATGCGTTTTTATATCAGTATGTCTCCTGAGTTTTCGTCAGGCGCTTCCCAATTTGATGGACTCAGAAAGTGAACGATGCAGTTTGAGATCCTTCCTTGCTCCGACTAACATTCAATACAATCTGATATTTTGAGCAAGCAAATACTCACTTTTTGTTGATATTTGAATTAACATTGGGGGAGCAAATGAACTATTTTTCACGAGAAGTTTCTAGTTTAGTCAGACCATTAAAATGTTGATTTTACGCGTGTAGTGTCTCAAAGTTGACAGAGTAAAAGGGCTAAAGTTTCATCGAAGCACGTTGACTTATGTCCTGCTGTGAATATGATCACCAGCTTTTTCGTAATTGTTATCTTACGCAATTTGAGACGCAATACTTCTCGACTGTACGTAGTAACATCTTCGTGACGCCAGTCATGTGATTTCTATTGCGTAGCTATGTAATCAATAAGTCATGACCGCATATTGAACTTGATCATCCGACGCAATAATGCAGAATTGCATATATCGCTATAATTTTGGTTATACAATAGCCACGGAAGCAATTCAAGTATCAGCTAAGAGCATATAAGGAGCTCAGTATGATTGGTAATATGAGTCTCGCCAAAATATGAGATTTGGGATCATTATTCACTTGCAAGCAGAAAAAAAAATATGTTTGGACTAAAATCAATTTCACTCTTTTTGACAAACATTATTTTAAAATTTAATATTTTATCTCACTACACGATAAAATTTGCTTTCGTTTGAGATGTCAATTCGCTGCCCATAATTGTTAAAAAGTTGTAAACGTTCAAAATAACCAATATTTCAAAGTTACAGTGGAATGCTACTACCCCCAGTTAATATATATTGCGGGTATATTTTAAGCTAATACAGTCAAGAAGAAAGATTAGAGGTGAAGAAATCTAAACTAAATAGACAAGTGGTTTTTATTCACGTATATGGGATTTATATTGTTGCAACAATAATTAAAAATAATGAGGTGACCGAAAACTACAACTCGGCATGTGTGAAGTGTAACTTGGATTTTGTCTGCCTGACATCCTTATTTGAACTGTTGTATTCGTGAAGATATACAATATTAACCAGCGTATGTATAGTGTGTCTGTCGGATCAAGAACTAAACAGCATATCACTAGAAAATACAGCAACAACAGTTTAGCAACCAAACCGTAAGCAATATATTTTCAAACCCTAACAATTTGCTCGTGTACTGAGAAAATGAATGTTCTTAAAGCTTATACTGGGTTGGAAATATCACTTTCTAAGGAAATCAAATTATAAACATCGGGCGCGGGAAAAATATTTTCGAGGCAGATTAGAAGTTATGGATCTAATGTACGTCGTGAAGAGTCGAAATGTAACTTGAAATTTGGGTACATGTACCCAGTTTGGGACACCCGCTTCACCCAATCTTTAATACGTGCCAATACGGTTCCTGGGAATACCTACATAACTCGATTTTGCTGAGTATTTGTTCAATGCTTAAAATCTTGAGTCAAAACAAAATGGGTCTATGCAATGATGTTAGATGAAAGAAACCCATGGATTTATATCTTCCTATGAACAGAAGTGAACGTTGGGTAGAGGGGAGACTCGCGCAACACAGATTGCAGAGAAGACTACGGACCGCGATACATTTTTTTTTTATCCCATTGCCAATTCTAGAAATATGCAATCAAATTTTTTACAGAAACAAATATTTCTCGTGTTTTGAATTTATTGACTCATTTACATTAGTTAGGCAGGCTGAATTAAAACAATGAAACTGGACCCCATTCTGCAACTAATAACTTGGATTCCTTCACCAACAAAACAAAATAAATAAGTTGGAGGTAAAATGGCTCACTAAATTCATAGAATGGGATTTATTTACTATTGACCACTAATCTAACAGTGTTTCCCAACCTAGGGGATTTTAAGAGGTCACCTATATTCCGCTGAACTTGAAATAGGGC